CACGGCTCCCGACCAATCAGGATGCCGGCTCCATGCTCCCTCGTCACAAGTGACGAGAGAGCATGGAGCCGGCTTCCCAGGCTAATCAGGAAGCCAGGCAGTGTGCAATGACTCGCTACCCGGCTTCCTGATACCAGAAGTATCAGGCTAGGCATTGGAGCATTTGGTCGAGTACTCGCCCAAATACTCGGCATCGATACTAGTATCTGTAGATCCCTACTTTTTATAATGCGTGCCCATACTGGAGAAATTTTCCTCCGTCACTTTCTGTCCCTAGGACACCAGTGGTGGTAAAGCTAGCTAAAGTGAGTTTACAGTCTGTATCTACTTGGCCAGTAAAAGGCATCATATAGCTTTAATGGTGTTCGACCCGATGGTCCCAGTGCCACTTCTGCCTCCATCTTTGCTGGACTGACAGCCAGGAATATTCAGTCCAACAATGAACAGAATCAGAGAAATCTGACATTTATTCACTGGGAAAGGTCATTCGAGGTATAAACACTCTCCCAGCTCACCTTATCCACGAGATCTTTCTCAGACACTTCAATGGAGTCCTGCTGAGCGCCATAGCGGTTCCTCTGGTACGTCACTTGTTCTGCCACCAGCTGTTTCAGTATGAAGAGCAGCAACTCATTGTTGTCCCTTCTGAATGCCAGATATCGAGCAAAGGTCTGATCAGGAAGGGAGATATAAAAAAAAGTCAATACCAGCTTTAAAATAAAACAAAATTTTCACTTCAACAATTAAGCATTAGGTTACATGTCACGGCACTAACTAATGAAATAAGCAGCCAGTGTAAATGTAATTGCCCATTTCTCCCACTGCGATCTCTTCTCCCCATCTCCAGAAAACAAGCATTCTACCAGTTCAGCAGTGTGGAAGGGTTGTAACCGATCGAGTTTTCAATGACTTGGTCTGCGCTGGTGACTCACCTTTTTGCCCTGGTCTCCTCTGTTTGAGTTATGAGAACCCATACAGTAGTTAGAAGCCAATGCTTCATTTGGGACACCTGATCCAGTGACAACTGTCTAAGGACTTTAACTCACCGTTGGAGAGATTTCTCTACACTTCCTGTTGTGTCTGCAGGACAGGAAGCCTCTATGATGACAGTGTATTTTTGACAGGGGTTTAAACCATCCCCTCTATGCAAGTAAAAAAGAAAAAAAGGTTTTGGCTCTAGCAGGCAACTCCAATACTGATGCTGCCAGTACCAACCAAAACCAAGTTACATTTTTAATGCACATATAGCAGCAATACTAAACTACAGTGTTTTAAAAAGCCTTAAACAAGACCAGACAGGATACCATCTAGCTTCTAGAACCAACAAACAAGGATTGAAAAGGCTGAAACTCAGGTTATAGGCCAAGTCAAAAGGAACAGCCTTAGGGCCGGTTCACTCCATAAAGAGTGTGTTCCAGAGCATTCGGCCTCTGAAACGCAACCCGGCTGGGTCACTTTGTTTTGGGGCGGGAGGCGGTGCATTGAAGTCAATGGCACCGCAGTCACACCCCGCGACCCCAATGCGATCGCCGGCACATTACTGCATGCGTTCCGGTGACGGCGTGGGTCATTGACCCCAAAACAAAGTGAGCCGGCCAGGATGCGTGCCAGAGGCTGAACGCTCCTGAACGCATTGTTTATGTTGTGAACCAGCCCTTATGTGGTTCATCTTCCTTTGGCAGGGCATGCTGCAGATGAGGAGCAGCCAAACATCAGTCTTGCAGCTGAGGGGTTCTTTGCTCTAATGGGATGTGAAACTACACATCCCTTTAGGCATTGCAAGAGTGGTAGCCACAGGCATGACTTCCAGAAGCAGATGCACCATGGGATTTGTAGCTTTACCACATTGGAGAGCCAAAGTAGTTAACTGTAGACCCTCTAAAATGTATTGTTCTACAAGGACTTTATGGTCTCACCTTGCGCATGCTCCTCATGACACTGAACTTCTGCGTGTCGATGAAGCTTTCCAGCATGACCCTGATGGCCATATTGACATCGTCTTCTACAACATATTCCCGCAGGTGCATGCGTGCGTGTGCTTCCGCCATGCGAATCATAGATTCAATGTGTCGCACAGTGATGGGAATACTGCCGGTGGCCTGTTGGAAGAGAAGGATTATGAACAGGAGTAGTTAAACAACGTCAAGTGAATTTGGCAAACAGAGGCTGAAAAATGCTCATTTAACTTTAATAATGGAACAGGGCTGAATCTAGAAGGAACAGAAAAACACAAGAGCATCACATGTGCTTCTATTAAAGAGAGCGAAAGCTCCATCTAGTGGATGCCATAGAACAGCTCAATGACACGCCAACAGTAGGCAGCATCATTAACTGCAAGCAGACCAGTAAACATAATCTCAGGTCTACATAATAATGGAATAGAGCACCATCTAGTGGCAGTAAAGCAATATACAGAACAGCATTGCATAAAAGGATTACATATTGGCTTTAAACACTTTTTTCTACTTGGATTAAAAGATTTTTGGATAAGTAAATATGAAATTCATATTATAGAAACTTTATTCAGATTGCAGGTGGAGATCTAGGCTCAGAGACCGATCATGTACAAGGCAACCTAGACAGATGTGTAGGGACTGGTGTATGCTCAGGGGGCCCAACCAGACTGATGGCACAATAGTTGGGTACCTGCCTGTCGCTTCTCAAAGGATGAACTTGAAAGCAGTCTGTCTGATGGAGCAATGCAAATGGGATGGCTTCGCTGTGTCTACAAAGCTGTCCAAACTCCAGTCCTTGAGGGATGAATGTATCTTAAACCTGTTTTTAACCTTAGCGGTTAGACTAGTTTTTTTGCATGCTGGCTGGTGAGTGTGCTGGGAAACTTTTTGCTCTTTTACTGTTTAAAGCCCTTCCCTGTGCACCTTGCTTTAAAGCAGGTTATGAGTTGATGAATGTGTTTGCCATTTGTTTTGCTTGAGGGATGAATGCCGGCCAGGATTTAGCAGAATACAGGCAGTCCCTGGGTTACATACATCCGACTTACATACGACCCCTACTTACAAACGGAGGCTATTACTGTACAGCGGGGGTAGTTGTCATGCTACCGCGCTCGTGCTGATGAGTGCCCGCCTTTTTGGGTCTGGTTTGTAGTACTGCAAGTACATTACAGGAACTTGGCTGTTAGACGTGCAGACGAGGGGTGCCCACCTCTTCTTCCGGGTCACTGAGGTTTTTACTGCTGTCTGTATCCTCATTAGAAAGATTTAATCTCACTTCCTGTCCTTGAGACAATAGGAAGTGAGATGAAATCTAACCCTAGGAATAGAAATTCACTCCTGTAAGAGTGGTCATGGGATAAAGGCATCTCCACTGAAGCTTTATCACCAATTCTTGTTTCCACGACAGCCCAAAATTTTCAAAATCCAATTGTCACAGGGACAGGAAGTGAGTTGAAATCTTCTGAACAGGGGCAAAAACAAACATTACATGGGGGTTAACCCTTCCCTATGCTATCCAAATCTAAAAACATTTTTTTCGGCTGGAGATACACTTAAAATGTTTTACCTGTTCCAACTTTCAACGTAAGAACAAACCAACAGTCCCTATCTTGTTCATAACCCGGAGACTGCCTGTAAATATTTTGCCAATATTCTTTCTAAACTGCACAAATCTGGAAAGTATGTCAGTGTCATGCCCCTCAAGGACTGCGTTGATCAGCCTTGGCTTATTGCAGTACTTGCCAATTGAGGTGATGGAGGCAAAGCTGCTACCTTGCCTAGGACAGCATTCTCCTTTAATCCATCATGGTTTTATTTGTTTTTTTACTACACTATTCACATGAATGATTTTTAGCTCTGCTGAAAGAAGCCCATTCAGAGAACTCCAATGGGTCAGTGACACATCAGAATCTGAGGTTTCAAATCAGACAAACTGAGCTTCAAAGCAATCAGCATCTGCTGTGCTGTCTTCCCTTTAGTGTTCTGGGAACATGGTCATGGTATTGCAATACAGATTTCATATAGATAGCAGAAAAACGCATGTACAAAAATAAAATTGATTTGTAACATTATAGGCTCACATTAAAGCAGAATGCAATGGTATGTCCCACACTGTCCTCACACCCTATACACTGTGTATAGAAAGTGATGACTTAAGGATCCTTAGACCACTGGAGGGGGGAGAGAGGCTCCAGGGACCGGTCTAAGAGCAAGCCGAGGCTAGGGCGAGTATTCATAGCATATTTAGCATTGGGGAAAAAACAAGCACTTAACCCTTGCAGTGGGGTTACCCCATGTACTGCAAGGGTTAAGAACACTTTTGCCCAGAGTTCTGCTTTAAGCCACTTTATCCAGTTTACCGTCTAACAGGCCACTGACCATAGACTCCTTCCTGAGGTCGCTGTACATCCTGGCCACCTTGTCCTGGTCCATCTGGTTGAGCTTAGGACGGATTTTCTCCTTGGCGTACATAATTAATTTCTTTAGCATTTCTTGCGGAATTGGCTCCACCCCAAACGTATTGGGAAGAACAATTTCTTCTCCATCTCCATTAGCCAGGTCTTTGTTGCTTGGGTGATGTTTAATATGGCTGCCAACCACAAATCGGGCCAACATTTCATCCTAAAATACACATCACAAATGGACAGAGTTTAGGACGTGATCCCTGAATACAGCCAGCAGCTTTCCCGTCTTTGCAACATATTTAAAGCTATGTTTTCCCCTCAAATGAGAGGAAGTCTTGCCAAAGTAAGTAAATCCCACACCATTGACCTTTTGTAGAATACTAAGGGTCTCCCCCATTAGAATATATCCCATTTAATTCGGCGAAGTCTAATATATTGGACATGACGGCAGCCATTTATAAAACCCATGAGGCCAGGGAATCTTCTACTGACAGTTGCTAAACGTGGGACCAGATGGCACGCTTTATCCAATTCTGTGCCAACATGACACAGATCTGCAACCCAGCTGAAGTTTTAACAGGTTAATGAGCCTTACCAGCAAGGTCTAAGTTGTGGAGAGTTTTAATAGCATATGAAAGGGTAGATACCTGCACTGGATCCACCGTGTCCCTCACCACACACAGAATGTCAAATCGAGACACAATGGGCTCTGTCAAATCAACGTTCTCCGAGAAAGTCAGCGATGGGTCATAACGACCGCCTGGAATAATAAAATGTTTTTACTGAGTATCATTTCTTCTAGGTGCAATTTAAATAGCTGCTAGTAAGAAAAAACATTTGTGCATTACCGATTGGGTTAGAAGCAGCAATGATGGTGCAGCGTGCCTGGAGAGAAGTGACGATACCAGCCTTCGAGATGGAGATACTCTGCTGCTCCATAGCTTCATGGATACTGGTCCTGTCCTGATCATTCATCTACAAGAAGAACATGCCAAGTGAATATACAGGAAAGGATAAGAACTTGAAGACAAAAAAGGAAAATAAGTTTGGTAACTGCTACACAGGCCATCTTGGGGTCTTTTGTTAATTATTGTCACCACTTACCCTCAGCTATAACTTGCCCCACATGCAGGGAACCATCACCTATACACGGTATTGAGCCTTTGGCTCAGAACTGGTCTATAGGGCACACACGGACATCATGTTGTGAAAGTTCATTAACATTGAAGGGGTGTAGAAGAGAACGGGTTCACTAACCTTGTCAAACTCATCGATTAAGCAGACGCCTCTGTCTGCCAGGACCAGAGCACCGGCCTCCAGACTCCATTCTTTAGTGACGGGGTGACGCTGGACGTAGGCCGTCAGACCCACAGCAGAAGCTCCTTGTCCAGTGGTGAAGACGGCTCTGCTGGATACTTTCTCCACATACTTCAAAAACTGGGATTTGGCTGTTCCCGGGTCACCACACAACAAAACGTTGATGTCCCCTCGGACTTTGTGCTTGCCACCTGCAAGAAAAGCACACGGTGCATGACTGAATAAAGATGCATTTAAAAAAAAACACTTGCATTGAGGTTTCAAGTGCATTAATGGTATCTGGTAAAATTATTCAGCTCACTATTCCCATTGGGCCCCAAAAGCTGCCATTAGGAGCTAAAGGCTTCCGTTGGGTCCCACAGTGTTATAAAACTGGAATAAGCAGTGCGCAATTCTCACCATGTTTGCGCTCTAAACCTTCTAGCTACTAAACACAATGAAGTAAAGCAAGAGAACTCCCGGTACACTCACCTGGGTTCTTTGCTTCTCCTCCAAACAATGCCAGAGCCAGGCCTCTCTTGATGTCCTCATGCCCATAGATAGATGGAGCAATGCTGGCGAAGATCTGCATGGGGAACATTGTCTTATTACAAATTGCGATGATCCAAAATGCAGTAAAATCAAGACTTCAATGAATCAAGCACTCACCCTTTCACCAATTCGTTCGTCTTTGGAAAGTGCTACAATGGCTTTAACATCTTCATCCGTCAGCTCTCCTACTGCGACTTTGTCATCTTTCTTCGTGATGTGGTTGGCGAGGATAACGGTAGCAAAAACAGGGAATCCGCTGGCTGTATTGAGGGACCCGTCGTAGTTGTTGTGATAGATTCCAGTCAGCTCCTATCAAAACAGCATAATTGTGTTTTACTTAAAAGTGAACGTGCAAGCTTCCTAAAATACATGGCCACGACGGTGACACCAGCACACCGGTCTTAAAGCCTTTATGCAAGCAATGTTTTTGTGTTCATTACTGCTGGGAAGAGTTCTAATCTGTCAAGTCTTCTACCCTGGCTGTACCCATTGAGGAGATCCCCCTCACTTCCTGTCCCAGTGACATGCTGTTGCACCCCTTTCACACAAGGTGTCACTAGAACAGGAAGTGAGGAGAATCACAAAAAACAGGACAGGGGTTCTTTAACATCTTCATTATGTTTTAGAAATGATTGCTGATTAAGTCAACAGTAATTTGACATTACACTTACTGCACTGTAGTATATCCGGTATGTAAACACCGTGCAGTCGACTCTGCTGTGAAGCACATCAGAATCTCTAAAATGTGTATATTTATATTAAATAGGAACCATTAGAATGGCTACATTAACCCTTTTGCTGCCAAGGACGTACGTCGTACGGAGCTACAATTGTATTGCCAATTTCTTTTGTAGCCCTGATGTAGAGAAGTTTGTTCAGATACCTAAGAGTTGTTGCTTCAGATTTCTTTTCTCCACACAATAAAAATGGATTTTGCACTTGAGATTTGTTCAAACTTTTCTTGCCCTAGCAAACTTTCAATGTTTTATCACTTATGGGGCAGCACAGTCGCTTAGTGGTTAGCACTTCTGACTCTGGCTGGGGGTTCCTGGTTCAAATTCTGGTCAGGACACTGTCTGCATGGAGTATGCATGCTCTCCCTGTACTCGCATGGGTTTACTTTGGGTACACCGGTTACCCCCAAGCTCAAAAGACATGCTGGAAGGTTAATTGGCTCCTCTCTAAATTGGCCCCGTGTTCATTTGAGATCAGGATCTGATTGTAAGCTCCTTGAGGGCAGGGACTATAATGCGCTGCATACATTCTCAGCGCTAAAGAAATACCTGGAAATAAACGGTGTCTGATTTTAAAGCCAACACACACCAAGATCTGCAAAGGTCACCCACAGAGTTTGTGCCAGTCTGAGCCCTTTACAAATGAATCCCATTTAGACTGTTCACAGAGTGGTTCGGCCGCACGGATACGCCGACATGAACAATTCAATACATTGCTATGGGACCGTTCATGCAACCATGCTAGCCGAACCGCCCCCGCACTATTTTTGCCCCGCTGATCAGTGCGGTTACCATTTAGCTTTCAATTGGAACCGCGATCAGCGCGGTTTTGGGCATTTTTAATTGCGTTTCAGTGCTGAAACGCAATTAAAAACTCCCAAAACCTCCCTTTGAGATCAGAGCGGTAACCGTGGTGATGTGCATGGGCTTCAAGACTTCTTCTTGGATTGCCACCATAGATGTCCCCCCGACCACCTCTTAATTAGTAGATAGTCGCCACTTACTATATCATCTCCGGGTTTGCAGCTGTCCACCAAGTCCGCCAGAAGAATGGCATCTTTGGAGCGAGGCAGACGCCCAGCAGCCACTTTGCCAGGGCTTTCTTGAATCGTTATACGCTGGTAGTTCTGATACACGGTCTGCAAAATGTACAAAAGATTAACACTGGCCCCCCTCTTGAAATTTTGTTCAAATTACTCTAATGCAAAAAAATACATTAAAAAAAAAGCCATTAAAATCAATCAAGCCAAGACAGCATTTAAGATATGCTAAAGTTGTCAGGCAACCACTCTCACATGTGCCTAGGCCATCTTAGCATGCCTAGAGCTATTGCAAGTTGATCATCTCTGTCAAAGACAGCAGAAAAGATTGTAGAGCCAAACAATTTAAAGGAACAAAAAATTATGAAACCAACCTCCTCCATGTTTATTTCGAATGGTCCAAGGGACTGACACTCTGGACAGGATCCCGGCTTCACCTCCTGGTTCTGAGACTGGAAGAACGGCCCCAGGATAAAGTTACACTTGTTACAGTTGTATTTCACCATGCTGAGCTGCGGCAAGACGCCAGTACAGCTGGTCACCACTCCGCTGGTCCTGATCAGCTGGTTTAGATGCAACTGCCTGGTAAAGGAGCAAAACCAAAAAGGGTCATTTCTGAAACCTTAAAAAAGTAACTCTACAAAAACGCAGCTTCAAACAAAACACCCCACTGTACAACCATCCCCTATGAGAACAACCCCACCCTCCCAGCATGCAACCCATAAACATTCCGTTCCAGATTCCATTTAAAAGACAAAACTACTAAAAAGCAAGGTCAGTCTTTTGTACAGTTTTTGTCACATCGTAATTTTTACTTCCAATATCTCACCTGAGAGACCTCAGTTCTTCTACCAGAGGGAGATGGGAAATGCGGACGTGAATCTCATGGGCGATGCGGTCATACTTTGGGTACATGACCAAAACCACCTCCTTGGCGGCTTCATCAAAGATCTTCAACATTTCAGCAGGGGCTTCGGGGAGGAAGTAGGCCAAAACATGCTCACGGGCAGCCAGGTCTTCATAGTTAACCGCCAGGCTCTCTTTGTTGTCTAGAACAGGAAACACGTCACCAATAAAACTTACATGGAAGCTGTGTGAACAGTGAACGAGCCATCCAGATTTTTACATGCGGCACAGTTGCAAAGTCCCTGTAGCTCACCTATTCGGACATTAAAAGGAGAACTATGGGGTTAGGGCTTTTCCCCATAGTTCTCTTAAGGGTAACGGGAGGATACAAACTAGCGTCCTCCCGTCACCCTAAGCTCAGTATACCGCAAGCTGCAGCTCATGGTATACTGAGACGCCGCAGCTGAAACAGATGTCGACAATTATGTATGGATCCGCCCAGCTGCGTGAGTGACAGCTGGCTCTGCCTATCTAGAGGCAGAGTCAGGTGTACCCGCCCCCTCCCCTGTCCGCTCCACCAGTCAGCGCTGGAGGATCAGAGCGGGGAGAGGGGAATCCAGTCCCTCCCGTCACGGCTCTCTGCCGTGACAGGATCGAGAAGTGAGCGAGCGCTGGTATGTGTTCGCTCACTTCCCAATCTGCTGAGCCGATGTGACAGTTTCATTGTCACAGGTCGGCTAGAACTACGAGGATGAGTGAAAAGCACTCACCTCATAGTTCTCCTTTAAGCTTTGCTATAGACCAAACTCTAGCAATGGCAACTGGCACAAACGTACCTAGCAGCTGACAGCAATCTCAAGGCAAAAGCAATCTGCTACTCAGGGAAGCTTTATTCTGCAGTACATATGGGTGCTTACACTTAACATGGTGGCTACAATCACATTGTTCTTGAGTCCAGGGATTACTGAAGATAAATATATAAGCCCTGATGGAGTCTGAAGCTCAGAACGCATTGGCTTTTACAATATTGGGCATATAAGACCTGTCTGGACTAACACCATCGGTATGACACCCTTGCTGCTTTCTAGATACCTTTATTTCCATGGAGAAACCCCCCGCCCCCCTCCACTTGCTTGGGGTCCCACCAAAGAGCTTAATAAGTCAGTCCCATACAGCACTGAACATAATAGAAGACCATGTGCCTTCTATGCAAATACTCCAAATTCATCAGTACAGGACCTCAATAAAGCTTGATACATTCTTCCACATTCTTTCGACCAAGTCAGCCACTTTTATGAGGATAGGAAGCATTCAAATTACAAGCTATACCTTTGCACATGTCACTGATCTTCTCTTTGAAGACATTGTGACCATGCTCATCGACGTGAGTTCTCAGGAAGTTCTTGAAGCGGTGGTAGATCTCCAGGCGTGTGGCGGCCATGGACACCCACTCTCTTACACTGTAGCCCTTCATGTCCTCCAGATTCTCAATGCTTTCAATCATTTCTTCGTCCTCATCGGCAGCCCCCTCTGCGGCGCGCTCAGCCAGCCGCCTCTTCCGCGCAGGGCGGTCATCCTCCTCGTCGTCACTGTCTGAAGAGGAAATGAACGGATTCAATATACGAGTCAGCAGGTCGCTCTTCATTCTTAACATGAATATCAGTTTTGATTAATCTTACTTGCTTTGTCATCAGTGACCTGACCAAGTTGACTTCCGATCCGCCCTCCTCAACTCGTACCGCCCTCCTCAACTCGTACCGCCCTCCTCAACTCGTACCGCCCTCCTCAACTCGTACCGCCCTCCTCAACTCGTACCGCCCTCCTCAACTCTTATTGCACTTCTACCCTCTCTGTCCTGCCTATGGCTGCCAAATATACAAAGAGTTCAAATGTAATCTTTAAGGGTCTGCTTTATGCATGTTCCACCCGACCTGTGGTAACTGACGTAATTATCTTAGCCTAGGTAACGCCAAAGAACTGGGAGCACAAGCATGGCTTTTTAAAGATTAAAATGTTCAGATAAGAAAAAAACTATACTGCTGTAGATTATGGAATTTGGGGGAATTTCCTGCAGACTTGTGAATTTAACGAAATGTGCACTTAACACAACCCATGGAAGCTCCTCTTTGCCTCTTCCCTTGCACAAAAGCTTTAAAACATTCAGGAGACACAAGTCTGGGGAATGGTCACGTGCTGTGCAGATGAAGATTGAAGACCAAGAGCCCAGTTTTTTTCTTTTTAGAGTAAAGGTGGCCATACACTGTACAACCATTGCAAGACCTTAGTCTTGCGATGGTTGTAAAGTGATTAAAAAAAACGTACGATCTGCCCATCTTGGACGGGCAGATCGTACTCTCGATCATCGCAAGCCCTGAGGGGCGGGCTTACGATGACTGCAATGAGGGGCGGGCTTAAGATCACTGCAAACGGGCTGTGTGCGCGTGCGCACACCAGCCCGTTCGGCAGTTGTCGAACCAGCAGGCCACTAACTCGCCGAGAATCGTACGATTCCCGGCGGGTTTTCTAGCCACGCCTTCCATACACTGCACGATTCTCGTACGATCGCGGGATTGCCCGCAATTCTCGTACGAGAATCGTGCAGTGTATGGGCACCTTAAGAAACATGGAATCTAGCACTCATATGGCTTGAGAGCCACCATGTTCATGCTGGGTCAGAGGTCAGCTAGAAGACGTTTACAGCACCTCCATTGGAGAAGAGCAGGAATGGTCCTCTGCTCAGGAGAACCAGTGATGGCAATCCCAAGCTTGACAATGGATTCTAAACACAAATGCTGAGCATTTCCTATTCATCCTCTGTGCATAGAGGGATAAACTTACCATAGAGGAGCCCTCTGCGCATGCGGCCCATATCTCTCCCCGTCTCTCGATCTCGCATTCTCATAGCCTGCTCTGCAGCATCCCTCTGGCTGGCCGTCAGTTCCTCAGCATCTTCATCGTCCAAACCCTCCGCTTCATAAACATCCAGCTCAGAGATGGGGCGGTAATCCCTGAAATATGTACAAGAGGAACGTTTGAGAAAACAAGGAAAAAAAAAAAAGGGGGACGGTGGTCAAAACCTAGCTACAGAAATGTGGCAGTGTGACCTCATCTGCATGAGCTTTGTGCCTCATCTGTCCACATCACAAGGTCTTCATTAGGGATGCACCGAGACCGTTTCTTCGGTATCGAGTAAAAAAGTAGCGATATTTATTTTTTCCGTACTCGCCAGTAGCAGTGCCGTGTGCCCCCATTATCAGGAAGTCGGGCAGCAGATCATGACTTGTCGTCTGTGTTCTAGTGAAAGAACACTGGCTTCAGAGGCTGCCTGACCAATCAGGAAGCCGGGCAGCAAGTCATGAGGTGCCATCCGGCTTCCTGATTGATCAGGGAGCCAGGCTGCTTAGCAACACGTGAAGCCGGCTTCCTAGCCCATCAGGAAGCCGGGCAGCACATCATGATCTGCCAGGATTCCTAGGCAGCCCGGCTTCCTGACCAATCAGGAAGCCGTGTCATTACATGCCGCCCGGCACATCATGATCCACCTCCCAGCTTCCTGATTGCCTAGGAAGCCGGCTTTACTTGTTCCAATGCAGCCTGGCTTCCTGACCAATCAGGAAGACGGGAGGTGGGTCATTACATGCTACCCGGCTTCCTGATTGGTTAGGAAGCAAAGCTGCTCAGCAATACATGAAGCTGGCTAGTCAATCAGGAAGCAGGGAGGCGGGTCATAACCCATCACCCGGCTTCCTGATTGGAAAGGAAGCCGGCTCCATGCTTCCTCGACACTGCCGGTCAGAGGGAGATCTCCCACTGACCGGAAGTTCGGGTATAGGAGGTAAGTATCGGAGCATTTGGGCGAGTACGAGTACCAAATACTCGGTATCGGTGCATTCCTAGTCTTCATGACTTAGGTCAACATGCACCAGAGTTCTCAGTCAGATTAATACAAGTCAAGCTCCAGACCTCTCCATTCCATCACCGATGAGCTCTTCTCCATCTTCCTCCTCTTCCACTGGAAGCACCTCATCCTCTAGGACATTTTCAGACTCGTCCTCAAAGGGAGGGAGGTCCCGGCCAGGGCTGGACGTGAGCGCATCTCCGCGCCTCGATCCCGAACGGGGACTGGTGGCGATAACAAACGACTCTGAAGAATCCTGTAATAGCGAAAACAAAGTCAGCAAAAAGGGAAGCCTACATCCAATTAGGGGTTAAACATGTCAAGGGGGCCTTAAGGGCTTGTTCACACCAGCAGCACATGGATCTGCTGTATTTTTCCCGAAGACGTTTTGCTGGCGGAAATTGAAGTTTTTGCATTGAGGAAGCTAGCCGGATGACAAGCGAAACGTCGTCAAGAAAAATACAGAGAGTCCAGTTGCCTTGGTTTATGTTCTACAGATATACCGTGACCTGGATGACTGAGAACCTTCACAGACATATTTGCCCAAAGCAATGCGCCATGTGCCCTACAGCCTCAGGTAACACAAATGCACTGCAATGGCGTAAGCTGGAAAAAGGTTGAATCGTCGCATTTTTTTGCTGCAGCGTATTCAGGTTCAGCTCATAGAACTATATCAGATTATAAGGGAACCCCAAGCGCTGCAATGCATTTTAAACGGTGGTGCATGCTGCAAAACAAGCCGATTTAACTTCAAACGAACATTTCGGAAACAAAGCGCCTTGTTACAAAGCAACAAAGTCCAAATCCCATTCGCACTGCCACGGTCTCGAAACCACAAGGTATATGTGGTGCCCAGGTGAACACACGGATGGCGCCGTGCAAAACACTTAGGCCCCATTCACACTGAGCGATTTATCGAGCGAATTTTGCAGCGATATCGCGCATATTTCCACACGATATCGCTCTATGTAGCTTCTCCAATCCATTTCAATGTAGCTGTTCACATCTTGTCGCTCAATATTGCTACATATCAATACTTTAAAAAACCCTTCAAGCGTGTGCCGGTGAATTACTTTTATTTATTGTTACAAAGTAACTGTTGCTGTATTTTAGAGCAAGACGATGGATCAGCTCTCAGCCGTTCAAATGCGTAGGAAGACAATAGGAATCCCGGGACTGAGCATGTACCCTCCCCCTGTGGTGGCGATAGCAAATGGCTGTCCAGCAGGTCATCAGGCATACGGAAGCAGACAAGGCAATGGTACAGACAGTCTATAAACACTACAGACCGATATAAAAAGGAGTAAAACCAAACCCTGTGACACGATGTGCCCTCTGACCTCATCACGGGTGGGATCATGCCAAAACAAGGGTCACTTTATTTACAATATTTGCAGACAGGTTAAAAAAGGAGCTCTCGTGCTCCCCCATTTTTTTCTCCCAATCCCCTCTTACCTTGCTCACTGGGTTATCCTTCAAATACAGCGCTGCTGCAATCCGCTGCTCACCTGGTCCCATGCCACCACCTTCCTCTAACATTTGAAGGGCCAACGGTCTCTACATGGTCCAGTTGGCCCCCAAAGAAGCACACCCACTGCGATTTACCAGAGGGGCCCACGGCAAGAACCAGGAAGCAAAGGCAGCCCCCCTGATGATGAGCATCTCCACAAGTGCTGTAGATTGCCCTTAAGCCTTCTAGGATGAATGAGCTACACAACCCAATAGGTTGTCACTCACCCAGGCAAGAAATGTGTGGGAGCAATTAAAAATATTGCAGTTGGGATGGAGAATTACAGAAAGTGGGTGACAATCCTCTCTAACAATGGGTTACTTACACCTCAAATCACGTTCCCAGGTCTGGTTGCCTCTGGCTCCCCCTGACTGCCACAATCACAGCTGTGAACATATGACAATATAACTAAACACATGGAGGGGGGGGG